AATAATTGTTTTATAACATAACGTAGGGAAAACATTTTTTTTTTTTTTTTACATTTTCAGTGGTGATTAAATACCACCTAAAGAAAGCTATATGTGTCCACCAAAAATTGTATAAAATTCATTTCAGTACCGCGTTGCATGACAAAATAAATGTCAGTCAAAGAACTGCAGCGCTGAATAATGAAAAATGGCCTGGCCAGGAAGGGGGTGCAAACACCCCGGTCAGCAAGTGGTTAAAGAACCTGCAAGTACAGAAAAATACCTTTTGAGCTGTAATAAGTGCCTTTGGTTCTACAACAGGTTCTAAGTCCTGTTGTGGGCTGATAACACACAGCATCTTTGTGGGCTGAATATTGCAAACACCCTGCACAGTTGGCTATTGCTAAACTACTCAACCCCTTCTTCTCTCTGATCTCCACAACATAAAGGCTTACTATTCTGTAGTTCAAGATAAGAACTAGAAGGGCTCTTTGAGATAACACAGGAAGTGTGGAGAGGAAACAGGACAGCTCTGAATTGCTGACATCAACGGTTTCTTTTTTCCTGCACGTATCAAACAGATATAACAAAATGCTTCAAATCATATAACTAACAGACCAAAAGGGGGCAAGTAAGAAGCTAATTGTTAGGGATTACATATACTTTAACCCCTTCATGACCAACGACATATAGTTTACGTCGCTGGCATCGGGGCTGTTTAAACAGACTCCCGGCGGCTTTTGCTACCGGGATGGTGTTTAAACTTGTAAAGCCAACTGTTGGCTTTACAGCAGAAGCAATTCTGGCGGCTCAGCTGCCTCCAGATCGCTTCTACAGGCCGGTGAACAGGTCCCCCACCGTGCTTCCCGGGCTCAGTTGCCCCTCCTACGGGCCCAGGACCAGCTTCTTCAGACCCCCAGCATCACCTTAAAGAGTACCTGTTACCACTAATCTGCTATTACATGGGGGGCTTGTAAGCCCCCCTATGTGATAACAATTAAAGCAAAGTAAAAAAAATGTTTTAATAAAATTTATAATAAAATAAATGTAAAAAGTATTTGAAATTTTTTTTTTAAGTCCCCCGCGAGCAAGCGCGTGTTCACGTAAACACGCGTCGGGTGCACATACGTATGAAAACGATAATCGTATTGGGTATCGCCGTGCACGCGGACCAGGTATATAGGGCCACTATTTCTGGGTATCTCTAAACTGATGACCTGTGGGGGCTTTTAAAGCGTTGTCTATGGACTTTTTGGGGTACTGAATTTTGTCGCCGTTTCACGGATGCACACAATTTTTAACCTGGGCATGTTGGGTATCTATTTACTCGTTGTAATCTCCTCTTTTATACTGTAGTTTTAAAAATTGGTATTTTATTGTGTTTTGGAGCATTTAAGTGCATTTTTCACTACATTTTGGGGTTTGATAAGGAGTTGCGCTAATATCGTGCAACATAAAAATTTGCAACTGCCAACATTTTATTCTACAGGGTCTTGGCTTTCAGAAAATATATAATGTTTGGGGGTTTTAAGTAACGTTTAGGCCTAAAATGTGGAATATAACATGGGTGCAAAAAATAAAAAAAAGGCCTCAGTCATGAAGGGGTTGAGCACCTTTGGATTAAAATGAGTAAATATGCATTATAGTAAATTATTAAGATCTATCTATGTAAAATGCTGACTAGATTCCCTCTGTGTGTCTCTCAATAGACTTTCCCTGTACTTCCTGTTCATCTTCTTATTAGAAGATGGATGAGACCACTGGGGCTGCTGTGAGTGTCTCTGATGTCAATCCCACAGTCGGCTGTTGGGTGGTCACGCTCTCTATTTATCCTCCCTCTTTTCCAGGCGTACTTCATATTCCCTGTAGAACTGGGAGGATGAGTGTGGTTTCAAGCCTTGCCTGGCCTGGCTGCAGCGCAGAAGCAGAGCAGAGAAAAATGATCGGCCTCCCCAAGGTGCACATCCACCCACGGCCAAGGATTCCTGCTGTAATTCCGCACGGCTTGTCTTGAAGTTCTCCATGGCAGGAAGCCACCGCTATGTTTTTCAATGATCATAGGATCCCATAAGGACTGATATGGTTACATATCTTCAAGAAAAGCAAGTGCGAGTGTTCTAGGAGGAAATAAATCCATGTACTGGGGCCAGTTTTATTCATGAAAACACACCATGCTAACTATAAATAAAGGTGATGACATGAACAATATAAAATTCAGATGGTCGATTTAACAAAATATTTATTTAACTGAATTTTTACATAGAAGGAAAAAGTCAGAACAGAGGCCATCATGGAAGACGTTTCATTGATGGCTGCAATATGTCAACTGCCTTTTTCAAGGGAATCTAAAGCCAATTTTGTTTTAGTGTTGGATAGATTGGAAAAAGGGTTGGAAAGGCTGTCATTTTTTTATAGCTGACTGTGTCCCAATGTGGAGACCCACTCTTTCCATTTGTCCTTATGATCACTTTCACTGGGAATTAAAGAGAACAAAAATCACCAGGAATAGAAACACAATCTTTCAATGGGGTCACCTGTTCTGATCACAAGAAGGGATTCACCAATTTGGAGATAATTCCTCTCACTTTCTTTTGGGTTTACAGGACAGGAAGTGAAGTAAAATCTCCCCAATGAGACACAGCAAACAAAAACTATGGCAGTGGTTTTAACCTTGGCCTGCTCTATCCTAAACAATAAAAAGGTTTGGCCTTAGGTATACATTAACTGCTCTAAGATGTCAAAAAAGGGGAATGGCAACAGCTCCATCCATGGAGTACAATGCCCCCTATTAACTGCTGTGGATCTAATCTAGCAGTAAATGAAATGTATTGTGGTTTTTTATAGTTCATAGTCATTGGATTCAGGGGTTCCAATCACCTCCATGGCCACAGGTGTATAAAATCAAACACCTCGGCATGCAGACTGCTTCTACAAACATTAGTGATAGAATGGGTCACTCTCAGGAGCTCAGTGAATTCAAGCGTGGTACCGTGATAAGTTGCCACCTGTGCAATAAGTCCAACTGTGAAATTTCCTTGCTACTAAATATTCCACTGTCAACTGTTAGTGTTATTATAACAAAGTGGAAGCCACTGGGAACCACAGCAACTCAGCCACGAAGTGGTAGGCCAGAGCAAGTTTGGGGTGGAGGAACTTGACTGGCTTGCACAGAGTCCTGACCTCGACCCAACAGAACACCTTTGGTGTGAATTAGAGCAGAGACTGTGAGCCAGGCCTTCTTGTCCAACATCAGTACCTGATCTCACAAATGAGCTTCTGGAAGAATGGTCAAACATTCCCATAATCCTTGCTGCCAAGTCTATTATAAGGTATGAAAGCATACAATGTAAACTTTATCTATAAGAGTCTATTTACACTACGGTACATACACATGCTGATGATGTTCTCTAGCAGCAAATTATTATTTTGCCACAAAGCTTTCACAGTTACCCTCCATCCACGTCATATTTCTGTATATCTGACCTTGGGTGGCAAAACTAGAGACATCAAATGTCAGATTCCAGCTTTGATTTTTCTAGTGCAGATCAAAAAAAGTAGCCAAATTTCTGATTGGTTGTTAGGAGCAACACATCCAGTTTTGCCTCCCTTTAGTTTGTATATGTGAAACATCATGTAGCTAACTTTCCTCCTGAACAGCTTAATTTAATTTGTTTTAATCTTTGTTTGTGTAGACGTATCCTGCGATAGAGCCAAAGACACATGTCCTGACTACTGTGCATTTCAGAACACCAGAGATCAGAGGTCACCATGGAAGAGTTTGCCCTCTAAACTTCTTGGTACTATTTTTTTAATTATAAATTATTGGCTTTCAGACCAGATAGCTAAATACATAAAGCATATAGTAAGATTTTGCATTATGATGTCATTTGGATATGTTTCCTCTTGTTATTGTACCTAACATCTACATCTTCTGTTTTTAGATCTGCTTTAAATACTGTTTGAGTTTTTGCAAAAAAAGATTCCAAAAAGAGAATTACCGTCCCAGAGATAAAGAAACATCCTTGGTTCATGGGACACATGACATAAGGTATAGAATATTACATAGAAATTGTATATGGAAACTTCATGATGGAATTTTAATTTCCACATTGGTTAGTTTGGATGGAGTCATTATGTATGCTCCAACTTGGATTCTTTTTGTCATCCCACAGAATTTAAGAGATGCCACTCAGAGGAATCTGGAGAGACATCAGGACAGGCAGAGGCAATCTGCAGTAAACAACCCTGCTGCAATCCAAGACCTGAAGAATACCCAGTGATCAATGTCGCCAAGGATCTGCAGGCAGCCTATTATTATTACAGGTATTTATATAGCGCCGACAATTTACACAGCACTTTACATAGTTGCACATGCACATCAGTCCCTGCCCTCAAGGAGCTTACAATCTAAGGTCCCTATCTCACATGCACCTGGCTTCCATTGTTTGTTTACATCCTGCAACAAAAGGCTTTCTCTTCTGGCCGTGCTTGTGCAGTACGTCCCTATTTACTTAAATGGCTCTATTGGCTCTACCTCTGTCTCCCCACCGGGGGATAGCCTCATAAAAATCAATAGGGATGTACTGCACAGGCATAGCCAGAACAGGGAGACTGCACTCAGCTCCTAATTCCTGTTGTGGGCTGACAATAGACAGCATTGTTATGGACTGAGTGGTGTCAGCCTTGCAGTTTTCTTTTGCTAAACTACTTGAACCCACCTTCTGTCCAATTCTTTACAACATAAAGAAAGGGCTAATTATAGTGTAGTCCCAAAATATCAACTAGGAGGGCTAATTAGACTCCTTGAGATAACACAGCAACTGAGCACTGGGCAGCCCTGAACTTCTGACATGGTCAAGAGGTTTTTTGCACTTATCAGATAAAACAAGACACTTTCAGTGGTATATTTAACAGAATAAAAGGGAACAAATATTTTTTAAAAAAAGTTCATTATTAGGGCATACACTTCAATTGACTAAAGATATGCTTATACATATATAACACATTTGGCATTTACTCACCTTGCTGGCAGCTTTAATAGCCTGAGCATCATATGTACTGGGACAAGGTTCAAGCTGACTTGCACACACCACTAATCTGTCTGGAAATACATAAAGCTCTGTACAAAGACACAGATTATAAAATATATTATTCATTAGTTTATTTGTATATGGCCCAGTAAACACATACAGCTTAGGTCTTTAATGTGTATTGTCTTATCGAAATAGTGTATTCAATATTAAAGTGACTCTAAACTCATACATTCAAATACAACTATTAACCAATTCAGAGAGGATTTGAGGATCTACAGCTGAGTGATACACAAATAAGATACATTTATGTTAATAGTTAATGGTACTTCAATTATTTTTTTTTTAAATTTAACACCTGAGTTTAGTGTCACTTTCTTTCTTTCTTTCATTCTTTCAAATTCTATAAATCTTCCTGAATCTCGGGGCTGTAACACATATCACAACATAACATTGCATGTTTTCTAAGCACACCATGATGTGGAATGAAAACAGGTTTGTTCACAATGTCCTAGTGGAACTCTAGGATGATGGTTCTCAAACACTGGTGGCCTGCACACCAATTGTCGCTGATCCTGCCACCCAGTCAGAGATTTATACATTTTTTTATTCTTTGTGGGGTTTTTTCACATCTTTCCATCTAAATGATAGATTATTGCATGTTCCTATTAAAGGACAAGCCCATTTGATATCTATATTGTATTAAAAGGTAGAGCCTAGTGGGCTAAGCCAGCCATTGGCTTCTTATATATTTTGGATACTTCAGCAATAAGATGTCCTTGCCATAATTATAAGTCCTATGGACCTTTTGGGTGTTCCCTCCAACCTTTTTTGTCCCAACAAAGTCCAAATCCCATTCACACTGCCACAGTCTCAAAACCACAAGGTTTATGTGGTGCCCAGGAGACCACACGGATGGCGCCGTGCAAAACACTAATAGTAAATAAAAGTAATTCACCGGCACACACTTGAAGGGTTTTTAAAGTATTGATATGTTTTTTCAATACCCAATGTCACATACTGTCATACGGTGCTAATGTTTTGGGTTCGCACAGGGATCCTTCATCAGAGCGACAGTGACACGCTTTAAGAACCCTTCAAGTGTGTGCCGGTGAATTACTTTTATTTACTGTTACATACTCCAACATTTGAACTCAATACATTTCAACAGGAAGAGTGGGAACCCCTCATAATGGCCACAGCAGATGGGGAGACCCAAGAAATTCACATGAAGAGATCTCACATGTAAGAAACTGTTAGGTTGTTTATCTCTTTAATATTTTAAAGTGAAATCATCCTATAATGATCAAAAATGTATCTTAACACATTTCTACAATAAGGGAAGTCTTTACTGCTTCTACAAAACTGCCAAGCAATCCTGGACGTGAAGCGCACGGATTACCATCACTTTGGAACATCTGCGCGCTGACAGAAGAGTTTATCGCTTTTTTTTAAGGGTAAAAAAAAATCTCCACTGACAGCACGATTGTCAACATAACAAATGTCAGATTAAGAATATATCTTAAGAATTTGCTTGTAATGCCTTAAGTCACAATATAGCATGAAAACTGATACATGCTTACTGTTGACAAATTTTGGGACTGAAAAAATTTGCTGAAAGGCAAAGGCTAAAAACATGCTACCACATATTTAGATTTTTTTTTCTTAAGTAAAGGTATCCATAGATATGTTGCCCATCCAGCAATTTTGCTGACTGACTGGAATGGGCAGAGAACACAATGTCGACAGCCATGGGGCATTATCCAGTAGACAGGCATTATATCCTCAGATTAAAGGTTGAACACGATGGACCTGTGTCTTTATTCAACTTCAAATACTATGTAACTATGTAAGATTAAAGCAACTCTCCAAGCATATGTCCTACTATTTTATTTGTCAAAAGACTTTCAATTTAAATAGACACTTCATTCATTGTATAGCTTTATCACACTGCACAGCCAGAAAGGTGATACCTATTTGCTGGCTCAACAATAGCTCTTCCCATATCTCTTCCTGTCGGCCTACAGGACAATGGGGAGAATTCATAAAAACTGGAGCATACAAAATCTGTAGCAGTTGTCTGTGGCAACCAATCAGGTTCTCTTTTCAGTTTGTTCAGTTAAGCTTTGAGAAGGAAACAAAGAAGCTGATTGGTTGCCATGGGGGACTTCTCTAGATTCTATCTGCTCCAGTTTTTATGAATTCCCCAATCACTCCTCCTCATCATTTAGCAAGATGGTGACCCAAGAAGTAAAACTGAACCAGAAAAGAAGCCGAGTGATCTTCCTTGCTGTGAGGGCACAGGTGTGTGAATCACTAGTCCACCTAAACAGAATACATTTCTTTAACAGGTACACAAAAAACATGTATGTATTGCAACTGTATGTTAGGTGGCTGTATCACCACAAGGCAAAACAATAGCCCATTGTGATAAAGAAGAGCATATATACTATATATTTACACCAGCCCATGTCTTCATACTCTTGTAGTGATGTATGAATCAGTAAAAGGAACCACAGTGTGGAATGGATGGATGGAGCAGGTCTTCCCACACCCGAATTGTCTTATACTTCAAGTGGCCGGTGAGCAGCAAAGTGGCGGAGCTGTTATTTTAGTGTTGTTTACAAGCTCTTCTTTGGTGAGAGATGAAGTCATGTTATTAAAGTAAAACTGAAGCCAACACTTTAGTTTTGGATAGAGTAAGGGCGGGTTATAACCCCTGTCAGTTTTATTTTTCTTTGCCATCTGTGTCCTGTTGGGAATATTTCCCTCTACTTCTTGTCCAATAGCCACAACAGGAAAGGAGAGGAAACCCCTCCAAAGAGAAGGAAATTCCTGGTGGTCAGCAGAGTAACCAGAACTTGTGCTCCCACCGGAAGATTTTCCATCAATTCCTGTTCTGAAATCAACCCAAAACTTTGGAATTTCTTTTACGTTCCAGTGATAATGGTTACCAGGACAAATAGACACAGGCAGCAATAAAAACCCTGACAAGTGTTCTAATCCCTCTCCACTCTATCCAAAACTAAATAAAAAAAGTTTTGGCTTAAGTTGCACTTTAAAGCAGAATTAAACCCTCTGGTTTTTTTAATGTATCTACTGCTAACAAGCAGGGTTATGTTTTGCATTATACGTTAATGAGGGAAATGTCCCCACTGTGTCCCTCCACTTTCACTTTGAAATTTCAAAGTAGCTTGCAGTCTGTCCAAAGACCTGCTCCAAAGAAACAACTAGAAAAGGTGAGAAATATACAGTATATATATTTTTTATTATTTTTAGTTCTGTTAATGGGAACATATAACAAACATACAGTGGGGCTTTTGAAAATGTAACTGCAAAAGTGGATATACACTTTAAGTGGTTTTTTTTTTTAGGACTGTGCAATTTAACGAATAATTTCTCGATGAATCGTTTTGATCGATTACATTTTTTTTGATCGCTAATGAAAATACTCACCTCTCTGCCGCCTTCCGGGAGTCCCGTGGGAGATCCGGGGACGTCACGGACATCGACGTCACCGGACTCCTCCCCCTTTCCCCAAGTGGCTCCGTCGGCTAACGAAGGGAAGGGGGGAGGAGTCCGGCGACGTCGATGTCTGTGACGTCACCTGACTCCTCCCCCTTCCCTTTGTTAGCCGACGGAGCCACTTGGGCCGGTGAGTTTGCCCAAGAAACTTTCTGCACGAGCGCCAGCCAAGGTATTGGCCTATACACATACAGCACAGCAATGAAGTAATAAAATGAACTAGGATCACACTAATCCAGCACGTTATTATTCTGAGTTGCCCCACTCAAGCGGCGGCCATATTGAGTGGGGCAGGTGAGATTAATAACGTGCTGGATTAGTGCAATCCTAGTTAATTGTATTACTTCATTGCTGTGCTGTATGTGTATAGGCCAATGTAGTTGGATCTGTATGTGCGTTATAATTAATCGAAATTAATCGATTAAAAAAAATTTCGATTAAATCGAACACGAAAATTTGAATCAGTAACAGCCCTATTTTTTTTAATGCAAGCAGTGCAAGTCCCTAAATATGACTTGGTATCAGCTGCTTGTTGTCCATGCTACAGCAAAGCTCAGACTGGAACAACTGAACTGCCAGACAGGGCTGTGCGCCAAAGCTGTATAAATCTCAGAAATAGATGGACAGAATTACAACTCTTAAAGGAGAACTTCAGGGACATTGTTTATTAACCCTTGTAGTGGGGCTACCCCTGCAGTGCACTGTTAAGTGCTTGTTTTGATCTAAGGAAGAAAATAAGAAACTCCTTGGAGCTGGCTGGCTGTGACAGCACTCCCTTCGGTCTGTCTCCTCCTCTGCTCCAGCGATGTTATGCCCCTCGGTGTCCTCATGTCTTATACATTGTGTATAGGGTGGGATGCCTCACAGCCCTCAGACCGTTGCAGTTGAGGGGAAGAGAGGCTCCAAGAACCAGTCAAACAGCAAGCTGGCTCCAAGGATCAGGTGAATAGACGTTTAGTTTCCTCTTTGGCCAAAACAAGCACTTAACCCTTGCTGTTGTGGGGGTAGCCCCACTACAAGGGTTCATAAAATATTTCTCTAGAGTTCTTCTTTAAGCAGATAAAACAGCTCTCTTATATGTATGTCATCTGTGAATTTAGCTGTTTTCCTGAAGTTCAACTTTAACCTTTTGGACTGATCAGCCCAAAATAGCATCACTATGATCAAATAGGCATCGCTTCTGATTAACACATGAATGCAAATTGAGATCAAATACATTTCACGTCTTACAGAAAATCTAGCTAGTGTTATTGAGATCATGAGCAGATCACACTGATACCTCGCTATATAATTTAGTCTCTGACCTAAGCTCCGAGCTACCAGTTCTAATGAAGCTGATTAACCAAGTAAATAGGGTGATTTACACACGCTTTGTATATGCAGACAAACAGGAACCGAAAAGAACTCTAGAATTCTATTACTCAAAAAGAAACGCTACATAATTATCATTGCGGCATCACATGATTATAAATTCCACGCTACAGCCTGAGAAAAAACAATCCTTTTGATAACACCACCTAAAGGCTGGTATTAAGTTACATCTGACCAGTAATGGGAACAATGTAGACTCACGTTTCACAGGTTCAGTGACTTGCTATAAAATGCGTTAGCTGCCTCTGACCAGCTGATATATCCTGAAGGGTGAAATCTATCTCAGGTGAAACTCAATTTGAAGTATCCAAAGTTCATACTTCTGTCTCAGTAAGCCAAATATCTTCTTTTTTGGGGGCATTTTTCACTAGAAATATGCACATTCTGCTACAATGATCTATAGCCTGTCAAGAATGGTTCTCACCACATCATGTTCAACAAAGCAGTCACACGCAATACCAACGACAAGGAAAAAAACCCAAAAAAACAGCAGTTCCAAAAAGATAAAATTACCTTTCATTGTTGAATGACAGTTGCAGTATGACATATGAGTGTACAAATAGACAAACCGTATTATGTTACAATGTACAGTATTTAAAGTAACATCAATGCCACCGAGCTGGTGCTTTCATATAAGTTGATATGTTCATGTTTCTAGGAACAATAACATTAGAAACATGCAACTAAACTGAAAAGTAAGATGAGAAAACAAGCCTGTCATCTTTTATCAACAGGACCCAAAGGGACTGATATACCATACCATAGTAAAAGATGACTTGTAGCATATACTGTATGAATTTAATTCTGAGCACCCACAACTACGAAGTGTGACCTATGCTTGTCTGCTTAAGGTCATATGGCAGGAGTCAGAATGACCTGCCAAGTGTCCATCAATATCCCAGACGTTATTTACTGCAACATTATGATTGGTTGGAAAATACTGGTCTCATGAGCTCATTTTACTTAGTTTAGCTCATTCAACCAAATTTCCTGAAGGATGACTGCATATTAACAGTTTTTACAACAATCCATTAGATGCCATCCTATGGGTTTACGTATGCAGACATGAGTCAAGTACAGTATGATTCCAGGTGCTTCTGAGTTGCATTTTGTGTTGCTATAGCCTGCTCGGTTCCAACCTGTTCCATTGCCATTGACTTGCATTTGGTAGAAAAGAAGCCCAGATGAAAACAAAGGCCCATGAGTCCTAAGTCAGTGCATATTATGATGGTGGGAACAGTGGGTGTGGAGATCGTATGGTTTTTGTGTACCAGTGACTTACATTATGCCACTGATGATATTTGATACATATTCCACCTGTTATTTAGGATTTACTATGTTGCTTGCTTGTTGAAGCTACCTTTGTATCGGTTTTAGTTTTGTTCTTTTGCTTGTTGCTTTTTAGGTTTGGTATTATTGTTGCTTTATTACTGTTTCATTAATCATTTACATTTCAAAGATTATTTGTTTATTCTTTATCCTTTTTTTCTTTGCCATAGTTACCAGGCTTATTTCTGTATGATCTGATCTGCATTCTACTTTGCGTTTCACCCCATTTCTTTGCCCCACCCTGTTTGTTTGGTGTCTTATAAGCCCTTCCCCTTTATCTCAGCATGTGTCCTGTATCCTGGGAGTGCTGGGCATAGTTTATTTGTACTTCAGCTCGATGGCACTCACGTTTGTGGTACAATGGATGTTGCAATGTTAAGATATCCTATGGTATACCAGTGGGTTGAATGTCAATGAAGATTTTTGATGCATTTTCCGTTTTTAATTTAGTATTTATATATGTTAATTGTCTGTTGAATAATGATGTGTGAGTGTGTCCTTCTAGCTTGGTAATTAGCTGGCTTGGGATTATTAAATCTTCTTATAATAAACAACCTCTTTAAACGGTGGTGCCATCTCCCTCAGGGCTACCAATAGAGTATACACTGTCAATCAGTGTATACGCTATCGGGAGCCCTGGGGGAAATGGTACCACAGTTTAAAGAGGTTGTTTCTTATAAGCATATTTGATAAGGGTGGACACACCCCCATAAGGTTAGCTCTATATTAAAGCATTATATTTTGTTGGATATATGCTGTGTATTTGGTTACCCAGCTAGGGGTATTGTCGGAGAGTTTTTTTTAGACCTATATACTACATTCACATAGTTGGATTTTTAAATCTTGTGTCCTTAGTCCCTGGGTCCTCAATGGCTCCAAACGTTGCATTTGCATTGAGATGGCCACACTTTGCTTTTACAGATTTTTTTTTTTGACGGGGTCATCTGTCATTTCCTCACCTTGGCACCCATTAGCATTAAGGTTTATGGTTGTAAGTAGTACACTGGATTCTATGGATTTGTGTCTTCGTCAGTGCATGTCACCACCACCAATTACTCCTCTAAAGAGCAACTTCTTTCAACAACAAACTGCAGATCATAAGACAGTATGGCAGATAGCTGCAGTGTACAGCTGCATAGCTGCAGCTGGATAGCTGCAGTATACATTATTCCCTCCAGAATCTCCATCCTCTGATTTGCTGCTAGCAAGCCATATATGATCCCCTGTTTGCTGCTGGAAGTGATGTTGCCCTTATTGCATCAAGTGACACCCAGGTAGACTTTTCTACTAGGAGGACTTAACAGACCACATATGATCTATGAAAAGAACAGTTACCGTACCTCGATACTGATGTTTTACCACACAACGAATGTTGACCCATCTTTTGATGAAGTAGGCCGCAATCCGAAATGTGTTTCCTAGAGAAACATACACATATATATAAGAAATGAGCATGGATAATAAAAATATTGCAACCCCTATTGGCAAAATCATTTCATGTACCTGTCCCAGCAAACTCCTCTAGCTCACCAAAAATAATCAATTATGGGTAGTGCAGTTTTTTGAAGCGCAACTCTAAGCAACATTTGAACTGCAGCCTCTAGTCACATTATACTGCTAAGTCATCAGTATCTCATACTGCATCATGGGTGGGCAGGTCTACAGTGAGCTCAGATAAGGAGACAGACTAATTTAGGGGTTTAGGTAGGGTGCAAATTAAAAGCATTCAGCAGGTAGGGCACTTTTACAAACAGTGCCCTATATTACCCCTCTCATCCGCCTCATCACAACTACACAATATATTACAGACACCAGATGCAGGCATACAATGATCCAACAGCTGCTGCCTGTCCAGAGTCCCAGCTTTGTTTGCATTCCTGCTGCACATCTCTCCCTTGCATATAGTGGTTTCTACTATAGAGTTCAATTGGACCCTCTCAACACACTAGGGAACACTGCAGAGATAAGCCAATACATCTCATTTACATATACTTGAACAGCAAAGTAGGGTGAAAATCTAAATAAGGAATCTAAATAAAGTTGTGCTTTTTTTCACAATGGTCAGCTAAAGGTATTTCTGCACCCAGGGTTTGTTATATATATATATATATATATATATATATAAAAGTAAAAACAATAAAGCGCCACAAACTGTCACTTATTAAGGGGGTGGTATAGGATAGCTTTTGCATAAGTGCATGCATTATTTAAAGGGAAATTTTCCATGAAACTTGGGAAACAAAAAAACTATTCATAAGGGTAAAAAAAATTCTCAGTGAGGCCATTTTTTAATGATTGGCTTGTAAGTGAATGTCCCACCCAGTGGGCATTACTAAACGTCAATACCTAAGTCTTTCTAAGGGAATTTTGTACTCCAGAAAATTCACTCCACAAGCTCACCAGAATCGCCAGCCCCATGCTGATAGGGGCAAGAGGCTGAAAGGGCCCTGAGTCAAGTAAATGGTTTAGTTCAGCAGAAGCCTTGATTTATTTTTAACACTTGGCTGTTGCATTCACTTAAAAACAGCATTACCCAGAAATCCTTTCTACTACTAGAAGGGATTTTTTGCATGAATGTTTTTGTAATACAGTGTGGTGGACACAGCTAACATTTCGCAGAAAAAAACAACTATCTATAAAGTCCGTGCGAAATATCCACACGGGGACAGCTTGTGACCGACATGAATATATCCTTCTAATGGCTGTGTGCCACTAAAACAATGTTATTATCTGTACATCACCCTTAGGCCTAATTAACCAGAGTCAGTAATAATAATCCACCCATACAAAGTGCTGTGTATTTTATGTTGGCACAGAAGCAGAACATGTTGCCAACATGTCAGCTTGTGGCTATTATACTCTTCAATCACTATGGTCAATGTGATGTTTCATATTCAAATCTTTCCAATGAGAGGTTTAATCAGAAAATATAAAGTGATCCGTAACAACATGAGGGAGCAAGCACAATAATTTTCCTCAGCTGGGTAATCCAATGAATATGCAATCCAAACTATTGGTTGGCTTAAGGCTGCAGATCGTATAAATGTAGTCTACGTTCAACTAATGTGGCCCCATGGCTAAATAAATGCTATTGGTTCTATGTGAACATCATAATGGTGAACATCATAATGGTTGACAAGAAAACATTGCTTCCAGGCTTCAGAAGTTATGTGCAAGTTACTCATGGGTTACAAAAAGATTTCTACAGAGTCAGAACTCCTTTGGGCCACAGTCAGGAAGACAGGCAAAAGGATTTCCACTTTTGCAGCCAGATTGGGATAACACCTATTTTATATTTGTTACATTTTCCCATTTACATAGAATAAGCTAAAAAAAATGCAGTTTTAATTTAAGGGTTAAAATTTGCTTTTACTTCCTTTGTAATGTTAGGAGGGGCTGAGGGGGTTCATTGTATGGGAATAAAGTAAATGAGAGAAACACAATCCAAAAATGTCAGTCCAAAGTCTTCCTATTAAGACAGATCACTGTGAAGGTGCTCAGATAAACTTAAATTCAGCCATCTTGTCTGCTGCAATAAAACATCTAAAAAGATAAGTAATATTTTTTTTTAAATATATATATTTTTTGGTATGCTGTGTGAATAGATACACAGAACAAATATATAGAGGTGTTTCCTCCAATTTGAATGCAAAAGTGGAAAATCCTGAGTGGGCTTCTTTTTTAGTCTGCACCCCTGTTTGTTGTCCCCACCTTCCTGTTTGCGGAAGACTGATCCTTGCAGGGTCCTATAGAGCCACCTGTTCATGAGTGCTCCCAACATGTACAGGCAGCCAGAGCGGGCTGAACAAGGAGCGATTGTGCAGTGGTGCTTGCCAACATATGACATGTAGTCCTGAGAAAGAGGGACTTTCAAAGAAGTGATGAGTGCATGCTCCTGGCTAGAAGGTCTAGGAACCGGCGCACAGGAATCCACAGGCTACGATGTTGAAGATTCCAATTGTGTTTCTCTGCTCCTGTCAGTAAACAAGCATTTACTGACAGTCTACTACTGACCCCCCTACCCAAATAAGTTCTGGAATATGGGCTGGAAAAACATCAGTAGTGACCTCTCCCTCCTTTTTTTTGCCCTTTCCTCCTACTTCTATCCACCCTCTACCCCTCCCAGATACATATTTTTCTTTTCTCCTTCTTCTTTTTTCTGTGCTTATCCAAAAATAATAAAGACCCCATTTCAACCTTAAACTGAAACAATGCCCCCCAGTGCCAAGGTTGCTGAGCTTTCTGTCTTGCATTTAATGGAATGTTAAGATCTACACAGGTTTATGCCACCCTGCCTGAACAAACTATTGCACTTTTAAATCTCCTACATGACCACTGTTTCCTCTATCTACTGCTCTGGGTTTTGTGAAAATCTTAAATAAAGAATATTTTAAAAAAGTACACCTGTATTCAAAACTTTTTGTTTAGTTTTGAATAGCGTGGGGAATGATTAAAGCTCCTTCAGGATTTCTTCATTACAGCAACAGGACATAACGTGACATATTTTCCCTCCTATTCTCCTAATCTTTACAACATAGTGATGAAGTGTTTTGTAGTCAGTAAACAGGACAGATCTGAATTTGTGACAAAATCAACAGGTATTTTCTGCACTTACTGAACAACTATAACAAAACACTTTTATTGGCATAGTGTACAGAACAAAAGGGAGAAAATAAAAATGTTCATTGTTAGGGTTTACATACACTTTATGGCAAACTCACTCACACATTTGTGGGGATTCAATCCTTGGGCTCAATTTTAAGATTTTATCATACCCTTTTTTTCATCCTTTCCATATTATCCACTGGTGTACTATACTATTTTTGCCATGCAATGAGTGTTGGGGTGAAGGCAAGAGAGGACAGAGATAATTCTCCTGGAAGTATGTTTCCATTGTCTTTTGTTTTTTTTCTGTTTTGTTATTTTTCTTTCAGACATATTAACAACAAAATTTTCCTATTATAAAAATAACAGACATTTATTAAAATTTTATCTGACTGAATCTTGAAACAAGGCTCACCTGTTTTCATATTAATAGCTTGCAAGTTTTTATTCCTGAAAGGAAATTGGAGGAACTGAGACGTCCAGTGTAATTCCAAGACCTCTTTGTGTTCCTCTCTTACGCTGCCAATTCATAATCTTCTAATTCCATTCAAGATTGTGGACACAAGAGGAATCTTGTTTTCTATAAAACAATCCTCTGCTTTGACAGCGTTTTGCCATTTTATCCATGCAGGGCCTGAATGTGTGACATAATACAGCACTATGATTGTAGGGCAATGACATTTCATCTTTAAGCAGATTCACAAGTCTGGGTGCCCTCGCATTGTGGTGGAAGACGTCTGAAAAGCCATGTCTGTCTACACATCACCAAACACTGCTTTCACTTCTTTGTTCTTCCTGAATACACAGACAATGAATCACTTTTTTTATTTTTTTTTATTAACGTAAGCAACACAATTTAAGGAAATACTCATAAATCAAGCAATGTGCTAATTTCAATTACATCTTTAGGACAGTCTGTCGGTCATCCTTTCATGTGTGGGCGGTATTTTTCCACAGTTATTTTACTTAATTTCATTTCCCTATATAATATAGCTATGGGATTTATATTGAAATGCTTTAAAAGCATCAAAGCAGGTATGTATTCAATAAGAAATTATTAAAGCTGAACTCCAGGCTGGTGTTATGCTTAAAGTGGGGCCCTCTCTGAACTGCAAGGGTTAAATGCTTGTTTTGGGGGACAGGAATAAGCACATGTACTTACCTGATTCTTCACTCCTCCGATAGCTGGCGCTCTCTGACTCTCCCGGGATGTGGGAAGACTGATTGGACAGCAGAGAGAAGTGACCAAGCAAACAGGAGGAAGCCTTCTGGTGCAAGGAATAATGTGAAATACTTATCATATTCCTATCCCTCCCAGCCTTGAGTTTAGATTGAACCATAATGTATTTATTATCTTTCCTTCTAGTAGCTTTTTGAAATCTTCTGTGTAGCAGCACTTCAAGTGGCATAAATTTGCTCAGCATTCTGAATTGATAAGGACCAGGAAAGCACCAAAGCATGGTTTCATAAAGGTGTAGGTAGAAGAACTTGTACGTGAAGTATACTTCCAACTATAAGGTCTCGTTCACACCTAGGCGTATTGCATATGTGCGACCGTCGTTTTTTTACCGAGCGTTTTTTTACCGCGATTCGCGTAGAACGCGCTACAAAACGTTCAGGTGTGAACGAGGGCTTAGAGTATCTGAAGGTAAGCATGACATCAGGAATCCTTCAAGATTCATTCTGTTCTGCACAATTTGCTTTCTGAAATCATTTGGGATGAGGCACTGGGAATATCTAAGCTAAACCCATGCAGAAAATGCCTACTTCATCCAGTGTGAGACCTGTTTCTCCAAGGAGTACAGAAGTACAG